TCCGGGTGGTCTGGAGCTTATGTGCAATCTCCTGACGATGATACACTACCGTTTCATACACCTCGCGATGTCACTGTCAGAACTAAAGGACCTCTATTGATCTGCTGAGGAGCACACAGTCGCATGAGCGTTGACGATGTGATCCGAGCTCTGGACCTGCATCGCTGTGAAGCTCGCGTCCTATTGTCCGTCCGACAGCAGTAGTTGAGCACACCAGCACATACACACAGCCTGTGCTGATGATGAGGAGAGCTTCATGGCTATGTCAAGGTCGGGCGAGCAAATATGGGATGTATGCAGATTGCGGTAGTAAGAGAAGTATGTCTTGGCGCCATATTCCAGGCTTAGCTCAACCTTGGACGTCGATGGTCTCTCACATTTCTCCATCAAGTTCCATCGCCCGTCTCTCATCATCTCATCCTTCATGTTTGACGCAATCTGTCAGCAGATGCTCACAATGGCATCTACATCCCATCCTGAGCTATCCTTACGCGGAATGCGCGACATAGCAGTCCAACGACAGCGAGCTCTAGTGCCAGTACCGACTTCCAATTCCTTCAAGGCAACACTCTAGCTGAGCCTGTCCCTTCGTTGCGATGTCGATGATGGTCTCGATAACAGCAGGCTGGACGGTGCTACGCGTACCGTGGCGTCATCCTCTGTGCCATTTGAGCTGCCAGCGCATCGGTGTCACGGACGTCAGATGGGATATTATGAACACAGCAGCTTGGCGAATAGCTCAGTTACCTGAAACGTCCACGAATACTTGTCGCGATCAGGCTGTGCTATACCACGAGCATCCGCCATCTATACAGGTGGAGATGGTAGCACTCAGCACGGTTCTGTTGAGCGTGAAGGGAGGGAAAGTGACGAAGGGTTGATCTCTTGGTTTGAGTCATTTGCTTCCGCTGCCCTTCCAATGCGAGGGACACCATAAGAGACACCATAGACTGGACGCACACCATCAACGATGTCTTCTACGATTGACTCGTTCGCCATAACAGCTCTGGCCAGCTTCTGAAGCAATAACAGGCCCTTCTTTCTTCAGGCTACTGCCATCGAACTCATGCTCCACAACACGTCGATTCGAGCCATAGCATGGGGTAGCGCCAGTCATGGCTCTCGGCGTACCACTGTCCAGGCATGTACAGAGTAGGGAGACGGCACAGGCGAAGTCAAGCCCAAGGAGCAGACAACAACATACAGCAGGGACCTGCGACCCACTACCAATCGTGCATTTCAAGCTGGCTACGGAAGACCGACGCCAGAGGAAATTGCGACTGGCTTGTGGAGCGTCACTACCGCATACACTGCTGGTGCGATTCTTCGACCACACTTGTTGCAGTGCCAAGGACTTCGGGCACCCTTGGTGCAATCTGAGAGTGCTTGACGGTCCAGGCTATCCGGAAGATGCTACTCACATGTGGCGATTGTGTCTGCGCGCATCGCATCCTTTCTTTAAGTGTCGATGCATTCCCGGCAGTACTTATCACTTCAAGGTCTGAGATATGCTGCGAAATGTGCTGCATGCTGTCGATACAATCCAAGCAGGGCTCGGTCATTCGAACTCCTGGAATATGCTGCGGACCTCCTCGCGGCCATTGCATCCTGCCTCACCGCCGGCAATGTAGCCTGGCAGTATTCGATCTATCTCGCTGCATCAGACGAGGCTGCCAAGCGCATGGTGGCAGTGTACGCACGGGACATCATGTCCCAGGACTGTCGATGCAGTCGGGTAGTGGGTAACATCGACTGCTCGAGGATGTATCAGCTCGTCTCAGCACTGTCAATGGACGCCGGAAGTGTCTCATTGTCTGGACTGCCTGCTGTTGACTACATGGTGTTAGTCTGGGCACGATACGTCCCATCATAGGATCCTGTATGCGGCGGCGGCCACAAGCTATCCTGACCGTCCAGCCTTGTGCGGCTGACAGCATCGACATTGCACCGGGTGTTGGCAGTCGCTAAGTCAACAGAAAGCCGACAGTGAAGATCTTGGCACCTCGTACCACTTGTCGCCGGGACGATTGGACCACATGCCATCTCCCATATGCCCTCAAGACAGCAAGAGCGTTCACATGATTGCGGTCATGTTCATCCACGCACACCGGTCGATGTTTCATCAGTAATCCCGGCTAAACTCAATTTTTTGAGTATAGCTGTAACGAAGGATGGCTGTAAAGCAATAAAGTGTCGCTATGACCACTGCAAGCTGGCCACACATATGACCCAATCATGGTTTGCAATCTTCATCGTGGCATGCAGCACTACATGGTATCAGCTAGCAGCTCAATTAGGAAGTATCCGATGCGATCTCAAGAGGCGAGTTCAACGCTATAAGTACTTCGCCAGCCTTACAATGCTCAGCCTTGCAGTGTTTCGCATCAGTCATCATGGCAGAACAAGCCAATACTGGCGATGCCTCCCAACATCTGCTTGCTTCTGAACGACAGGCCTCTCCATCTGCTCCTGGAAAGATGGATATCGACACTAAGAAGACTGAAGTCACGGAGAAACCAGTGCTTTTGAGCAGTACCTCGAGCCGCCAAGCGATACAGAAAAGAGTAGGAATTTCCACGAGGATCATGCCTCTGGTCTCAGCCCTGATTTCGACGGTCATATCGATAATGCTCCTGGCAACTGATATTCAGCGCTGGGCACTCCCTTCCGACGGATACTTAGCTGAGTATGTCAAGACCGAGTATCCATCCGTCTCCGTTGTTGTCCAGATCATTGGGACCTTGTTGGGCTTTCTCTGGACTTACTCGGTGACATCAGCATTCAATCTGACAGTGAGGTCAAAGCTTATGGATCTGTCCACGAATGTGGAGCGGCTGAGACTATACGTCTCGGTATCGAGAAAGGCGTTCGATCTGACACTGCCGGCATGGGCATTGATCATTTCTGTCACGTTCTACGGCATCACACTGTTGCCGACATGGCTTTGGACAGGTTGTCTCACACCTCACATCGTCACTGAATATGGAATTGCTGAAACCGGTACACTGCGCCTCCCAGACACCAGAAATGTAACAATGCCTATGGAAACCAATAGACTGAACGTTTGGTGCGACACTGTAAACCTAGACAATGGGACTTTCAGCAATTGTCCAGGTATAGTAGCTACGGGACAACTCATTGCTGGACTTGGCTCATCAGGATACAACAGGTCCAAGATCAACAATCCCGCATGTAATCGTTCAGAATCGATCTTATGGCGTTGGAGCATCTGTGGGCTTGACTGACGATAGTTACACATTGTATGGCGATGGGCCACCCAGATACTCCTTTCAGGAAATAGGCTTGGACACCAGCGTGAGCTGCAAATACAATACGACCGCCGACTGGACCGTGGGACACAATCTCACGGACAGGACAAAAGATGACAGTCTTCCCAATCTGTTCTACGCTGAGGGAAGGCGTCCTAATGAATGCTGGGCTGGGAAGCCTCCTGGTGGAGTCGGCAACGGCTATATCGTGCAATCGTTCAACGCTACCGCTGATACTGTGGTGGCATTCTCAGCGGGAGGATGTTGCTGTACCTGGGACGGCAGACCACCATACCAACTAGCAATTGCCGCTGGACGCCAGTACAACTTCCTCAACAACATACAATGCAACCTCTATTTCACCACAAGCTTGTTCAACGTCTCTGTCGACACACAAGCATGGACGATGTCTGTGCAATCACTTGGGTCAAACGACACCTTGATGACAACAAGGCAAAAGCAGAGTCAAATAGAGATGGCGATGCGAGCCCTGCAAGGCATAACGCAGGTTGAGACGACTCTATACACTTCGAGTGTTGGGTCAGCATTAGAGCGATACATGCAATCGTATTATGGCTCATCATTCGATCCAGGGCAGCCGGACGATAGCGTCCTTTGGTACATTTAGCAGGCCGTGGCATCGACAATGGATGATATACTCATGCGCCTGAACAGCTATACCCTGGCGAAAGGCAATGAAACATTGGCAGACGCAGTGGTACAGAGACCACGGCTGATGATTGGCGCCAAGAAGTTTCACATTGGCCTGCTGGTCACCAATGCGGTGACGTTGCTGGCGATTCTTGGAGTAATGGTCTGGACGAAGTCATTCGTAGGCGCTCCTGTCTTCAATTTCGCCGATCTGATTTCAATGGCAATAGCAGCTCACAATGGGGCAGCGGGTGAGCCTGATCGAGTTATCGCGTGGAACGGGGAATCAAGTGATGCAAAGCTGAATAGACTGAAGCTCGACATGCGGCATGGCAATGGAGTAGACAGGCCTCCGTCTCTATGGCTCGAATGATCATGGTATTGATGGACCACGGCGGTGTCGAGGTATCTCCGAAGTACTTATACTATGCCAGGTACTCATCCGATGTTAGTGGGCGTTGCGAGCTTGTGGTACAATGGCTTTCCTCATCTCCTGTTCCATCCCTACCCAAAGCTCGACTCTCAGGTGATGCATGAGCTCGTAAAGAGTGCTGACGCGAAAGCCAAGATGGCAGGAGAACAATAGCAGCATATTGCTCATCGACCTACCACTGGAGCTCCGATTGTCTTGAGATTCGTGCAGACTAGTACAACAGCAGTGTCGAAACAAGCTGGTAGCAGTGTGCACACACTTTGCCAACGGGCGATCTATGAGAGCGCATCCTAGGTTCAGGCTTCCCAGTGTCAGCAGCGTTGTCCCCAACTCCGATGGTCGAGCAGTGCAGCAATGCTCTCCGAACATCCGAGCTTGTCGCCCGATAGTCTCCCGGCACCATGTATGCCGAAAGGCATCTTCGAGGGTGACCTGGAAAGAGATGAGACCCGAAATGCATGAATGAACAGACAAAATAAAGGGTCCTCCATAGCCCAGATGAGCCAACTTCGATGGTGCATTATTAGAGCTACAGTCATGCTAGCAACACAAAACCTATACCAATCGATAGCCCTTGACGTGAGCTGCCATCGAGATGAGTTTGACACCGTGGGACACTGTTGTGGCTGCAAAAAGAAGCAAAATAGCGCTGCCGACAGGACTCGAACCTGCGCACCCGAAAGTAATAGATTTCAAGTCTATCGCCTTAACCACTCGGCCACGACAGCAACGATCAGCACGAATTGGGTTTTGTGAATATCAGGGCTGATCTGCGAGAAAGAATGCCGTCTCGTTTTCCGTGGTGGCGTTCTGCTACACTGTTGGGAATGCTGCGGTGATAAGACGGACCGACGCGTTAGACTTGCGGATGCGCTAGCGCGGGCACTTTACCGAATGCGATACTGGAGCGTCGACTCAATAGCAACGTCGAGTCTTGATGGTGCGCAATATCTCAGTATCATCACAGCATCTGACTTCAAGCGTACACGTCCCAGAGGCCACGAGTTCAGCGGCCAAAGGTTGCGCAGTATCGGTCGAGAACAAACCAAGACGCTCATACCGAAAATGACGCTAATGCAAGATGGCAAGGTGTCGATGAAGCGTTAAAATTTCTCCTCTTCGCTTCACCGACCTATCGTTCTCCAGTACCGTCGATCATAAGCTTATGCTTGTACTACCGACAGCAAGGTGCCCTCGAAAGCTTGCTGACAGTGAGAGAATCACTCAGAGCCGGTGAACTGTCTACGAACGATCGTCTTGATGCTTCACTTTCGCCCAAGTCCACAGCTGCTACGTACGCACGAGCAGTTTTACTCGCATCAATCGTCTGCGTAGACATGAAAACCACAGCTCGACAGTTGAGATACACGGTGGATCACAATTCACCGCAGGAGGCTCGAAACAAGGACTCTATCGAATCGCAAGGCATTGAGCGATGTATACGGTCGTCTCGCTTTTGGCATCGCAAGAGCAAGACCGGAGTGTTGAGGTGCCATGGTCTGATGGTACAACAACAACCTGACTTCTTCGAGCCTTGGAATTTGAGAGCTTAAGCCCAGTCGTTGAGTACTGCAGCGGTAAGGAGATATTGCTGACCTCCTGACACTTTTGTGCGTGCCAATGAGCCCGTCATCAGTGGACAATCGATCACTGGATGGCAGGGCATCTTCAAGTATCTCTTCCGCATTGAGAGATCGAGCTCCCGAGTCCTGCGACACTAATAGCAACGGAAAGATAGCGCTGACTGCCTTATAGTACCTGCAAGGTTATGAGTGCTTGAGTTCATATTCAAGATCTGAGCGGGCTCTACCCTGTGGCAGCTATGCTACATACTCCTTGATCCTTCTCGCCGCACAAGGCCTTCATGGCCATCCTGCAGATCGCAATTCAGTCCAGCGCAACCTTGAAAGTCCTCGAGATATCGCATATCTAGGAAGGAGAGCCAGACCACCTGCTTTAGCGCAATCCTGCATGATCGTTTGCAGATACTGTTCTTCTCTTCACTCCCATGACGGCTGTAGCTTTCGCCCGAGTACAGTCCTCCTCTTGCCCAGGATCCGACGCTCTACGACACTCAGTGTGGCCATTCTTTCTTACGTCGCATATCTGAAGATGGAGTTCTCCTCGCCAAGCGTCGCATCTTGATCGTCATCGTCCGTGGCATCTCTTTTGCGATTCTCGGCGGTGAAGTAAAGGTACATCAAACCATACAAGACTGCTCCTAAAGCCACCAAGGACATGGTTACAGCGTGCCCTCGTACATATCTGGGTCCTTCTTGAGTAGGATACAACTGCAAAGGTCAGCGATGTCCCACAAGACAGTCACACTTACAAATCCTGCCATTATACCACTGGTATTGCCGATTGTCAACTGCAAACCTGTCGCCGTTGTCCTCTTACCATACCGAGGATTGTTCGAAGGCAGCCATGCAAGAGGAATGCCAACAGCAACATACAATCCAATGGCAACCAGGAAGCAGCCAGCATAATGAGCATTGGACGAAACATCCGACACGAGTAAGGCATACCCAACAACAGACACTGCTGCAAATAGACAGACGACAGGACCTCTCGATTGTCGCCAGTCGCTGTATCTCGCTGCGGCCATGTACGCAATGGCTCCCACAGCATAGCATGGGATCGTCAAGACCTGAACAATCGCCGTGGATGCATCTGGTCGAATAGCCTTGATGATGGTAGGTAAGAAGGTCGAATAGCCATAGAGCATCGTGTCTGTGCAGAATTGACCAGCACAGAACACATAGATCTTCCAGTCCTTCAAACCCTTACGGACATCCTCCCACTCGAAGACATCAGTGGTTCCAATCTGTTCAGCCTTGCGATCAACAAGCATCTGACGTTCCTCTGCGTTCAGGTAGTACGCCGTCTCTGGATCGTCAGCAAGCACGAACCATGTCGCAATGCCAAGAACGAATGTTGGCAGGCCTTCGATGATCATGATCCAGCGCCAGCCTCTCAGGCCAGCAACTCCATCCATGTAGCCTATTCCATACGCCAACAAGCCTCCGCACGCTCCTGCGACAGCAGCTGAGACGAAGAGGTAGCCTATACGAAGGGCTAGCTCTCGTTTGGTGTAGAAGAACGTAAGGTAGATCGTCAGACCAGGGAATAGTCCGCCCTCGACCAATCCGAGTAACAATCGACAAGCCACAAGACCGCCATAGTTCTGTGTGATGCCGGTCAAGGTCGCGATGATGCCCCATAGTGTTGTAATGATGGAGATCCAACGTGACGGCGAAACGTAGTGCTTGATGATGAGGTTGGAAGGAAGTTCTGACAGAATATAGGTTACAAACAGAATCGATACGGCTACTTGGTACTGATTTGCGTCCAGGTTAAGATCTTCTTGTAGTCCATAGAGTCTGGCATTGCCTATGTTGACGCGGTCCAGGAACGACAGAGTGTAGAGCAGCATAACCACTGGTACGATGTGCAAGTCGAGTTTCCTCACCAGTCTGCGTTCTTGGGCCTTGTCGAATCCGGCATGCTCGAGATTGGGATTCTTGAGTTCAGCCATGGTGTTCAATGTCGTGTGAATTCAACTTCATCTTGTATTGATATAGGCGACTTCGGCGTGTGTAACCGCTCGCTGTACCTTAGCGATCGCGATCTGCACCTATATCACAAGAGATAGATCGTTGCAGCGAGTGGCGCTCGACAGCCTCGAGAGGGATCGCTAGAAGACAACGGTGCGGCCTCTTCCTGACCTTACAGAACAGAGGTGGCAGATGATATCGAGGGCACCGAAATGTGAGGTCCAAGAGAGCACTTCCCATCTGCGGCTCAACTCGAGCCTGACTTCCGCATGCCTACAACGAATGGAGATGTGCTTGGCACCAGCGGCATAGGAGGAGTTGCAGCCGCCTTATCTAGCTCACACACATGTCCCAAATTCCTCCCACTTACACCCACACACCTCGCGATACTCTGTGAGAAAGCACTCTCTGCACAATGTCAGATTCAGAAGGAGTAGCTGTCAACGGCGACGCAACATACGTTGGTCGAAGACCATCACCGTCTGGTCGTGACACTAAGAGGATCAGTAAGTCAATACTCACCGCAAGCACAGCTCACGTGCTTCATGCACTTCCATCTTTTCATCAAGCTGCACAACCAGCTTTGATCTTCGCATCACCTTTCAACAAGGTCCTGCCACAAACATGGCTAATCAGAGCGTCTTCGCTCTCACAGGGACACAGACACAATCTCTCCCACCTCCAAGTCTACCTCAACTTGTAGCTGAACAAGCACACCCGATCCCTTCAAGCGACAAGGATACCCAACGACTGATTGTCGTCCTCTCCAATGCCAGCCTCGAAACGTATAAATCATCACACGGCGGAAGAGGCGGTGCAAAAGATGAGAAGTATGCTCTACTCAACAGCGACGAACACATCGGAGTCATGAGAAAGATGAACCGCGACATCAGTGATGCTCGCCCCGATATCACACACCAATGTCTCCTCACGCTCCTTGATTCACCTGTCAACAAAGCTGGCAAGCTACAGATCTATATTCACACGGCCAAGGGCGTCCTTATCGAAGTTTCACCGACCGTCCGTATTCCACGTACATTCAAGCGTTTCGCTGGTTTGATGGTTCAGCTTCTTCACAAGCTGTCCATCCGGTCTACAACATCACAAGAGAAGCTTCTCAAGGTCATCAAGAATCCTATAACAGATCACCTACCACCAAACTGTCGTAAGGTGACACTCTCGTTCGATGCCCCTGTTGTGAGAGTACGAGACTACATCGCAGATCTTGGACCAAAGGAGAGCATCTGCGTGTTCGTTGGTGCAATGGCTAAGGGAGCTGATACCTTCGCCGATCAATTCAAGGATGATTCGATCTCGATCAGCAACTACAGTCTTAGTGCTAGTGTTGCTTGTAGTAAGTTCTGCCATGCTGCCGAGGATGTTTGGGATGTTATTTGAGAGCACAGTATGGCAAGAGTGGGACGTCGTTTGAAAGGACAGGCTGGCAGGAATGGACGTCATCCCTGAGCACGGGTATAGCAAGGGAGGGACGACGATTGAGAGCACGTTGCATGGCAGGAGAACACGGCAAAAGATACCGCTTTACGATCAGGTAGCGACCGTGTCGCGCAACGTCTAGCTAGTGATGGATAATGGTAGTGTCACGAGATTATGCAACAAATGAGAATCACCGATCGACTTGGGCATACGTGCAGCGTCAAGACCAGACGGCTATGCAGAAACGAAGGAAGAAGTGTCATCCACAGTGGAGCAATTTGACAACACCGCTTTCTTCTCGTCGTGGCTTACCGGCCTGCCTCACGTGTCACATCTCTCGCGGATCACATTCACTTGTTGGCGTCCGCCCTCACTAGCACAAAGGGATCTCCTACCATGCGAATTACATGGCTGCGACGTTACACTATCCCCAGTAGCATCGGAGTGCCTGCAGCCTGAGAAACAAGATGCAGGTAGCAGCCTGTCAGATCACTCCACGCGATCAATCCTTACTGGCTCTACAACATGCATGAGACACCACCCAACCATCTTCACTGGTCACGTACCGCCCTGATCCAGCCGCCGAGGTAGCCACATCTGCAGCGCTTTGGTACATCTGCTGGCCGGAAGACGTTGAGCAGACGACCGTATACGTCCTCATGAGCTGGCCAAGTGCGGCAGGATGACTTGTCTAATGCCTTCGATGCCTCACTAAGGAGAGTCCACTAACCGGC